GTATTATATGGGATAAAGTCAATGACCAAAGATGGGATATTCTGTCATCTGCTGTGTCCTTGGTTATCAGGGTTCTCAGCATCAAACAACCTAGATACGGATGTCACAGAGAAGAGGTTAAGTTTATAAAAAAGAAGTCTGTAGTCCTGAATTTGACTTGATCATTTTCACATGAACTGATGATGTATTTTATATGGATCGAGTCTGTCTCTGTCCATCCAAAGGCCTGGAAACAATACCAATCCCGTAGCAGTGAGCATCCATGTGCCCACATTGTGGTCTAGAAATTCCATTTCCCACTCAGAGAAACTGGAGCTTCTTTAGAAATGGCTGGTTCCAGACCTGGAGCAGGAAATGAACAAGAGTAGCCTGGAACATCTTGTACCAGTTGGGGAGAAAAATAGTGTGGTTGTGTCAAAAGCACTTAGAATTCAATCTGAGAGCCTCCCACTGGCCCCAGAGGAACTTCAATAAGGAAAATAATTGCAGTTGATTTAAACCCATCCAATCTGTGTAAAGCCATGAATTCACAATATTTTAAAAAATATTAGTTGCTATATTCATTCCCCTTGGGCCGCCATTAAAAAAAAAACAAAAAGTTGCCACAAAGCCAGTGGCTTAAAACAGGAATTTATTCTCTCCTGGTTGTGGCGGCGAGAAGTCTGAAGTCAAGGCGTTGCCAGGGTTGGTTCCTCCCGAAGGAGAGTCTGTTCCAGGCCTCGATCCTAGTTGCTGGTGGCGGCTGGTGACTTTGGTGTTCCTTGACTTACAGATGCATCGCTCCGGTCTCTGCCTCTGTCTTCACGTGGCGTGTCCCCTGCGTCTGCTCTCTGTGTCTCCTCTCCTCTTCTTATAAGGACACCAGTCATGCCAGATTGAGGCCTCCCCAATCCAGCATGACCTTATCTTAATTTAACTAATGACATCTGCAAAGACCCTATTTCCAACTAAGGTCACATTACGAAGTTCTGGATAGGTGTAGATTTTGCAAGACAGAGTGTTCAGCCCAGTGCAGAGACCCTTGGACGATGACAGGGAACCAATTCGTTACCTAGAGAACTCACAAATAAAGAGAAAGAATAAAGTCCCTGGACCTGGTTGCCCGTTTGCAGGAAACACAGAGGGCAGAGGAGCTAATGCTGAATTAGATCATGAGCATATAATCAGAAAAACCCAGACCGAGAGAAACTCTATAGGTCAAACGTTCTAGATTCTTCAACAAATAAATTGTAAGGAAACAAAATGGCTGGAGGAGGGAACTGTAGATTAAAAGAGACGTAAAAGACAGACATAACTTTTTAAATAGGCAGGATTCAACTAAAGGACCTAAGAGATGCATCTGTAACAAAACTCTAAGGAGGTACAAGGCAGTGATTACCTGAGAAGTCAGGATAATGTGCTGTTTTGGGGGGAAGGGAGGGTTGTTACCAGGATTGGTACAGGAAGGGGCTTCTGGAATGGTACATGACCAGGGGGTGTTGATAGTGATGTTTGTTTGCCTTTTACTAACTCATGAAGCCACGCATTTGCTTAGTGTTTGACTTTCTGTATCACTGTTTTATTTTACAAGAAAAAGTTTAAAAAATAAAAAAGAATATGGTAATTACCAAGTGGATGTGTTCCCGGGAAGGTAAAACGAAATCAAGTGTGAATCAGACAGGGTCTGACTCATTTCTGTGTTCCCAGCACAGGGCCACGCTCGGAGTACAAGCTGAATAAATAAGTGGGAATTATTAGGGGAGCGTTTACACATTTTCAGTGCAGTAGCTGGTGTTTATTGAGGCAGTGTTTCTCAAAATGATCCCGCGTATTCACTCCTATGTGAACCTCCTCATTATGAATTGAGATGCGTGTTATAGATGCAGCTTCATGGATGATCTGGGTGCATATAAAAGTGTGATAACCCTTGGAATAGATTCATCACAGTCAGAAGTAGAATTTAACAAGTTTTTAACAGTTTAACATTTTAACAAGTTTGCGATGGTCTCATGGACTTATTAAAATAGCAAAAAACTATCCAAAAGGTTAAAACCCAGTGCTGGCAGTGCTGTTGGATGGTAAGTCAATGACTAAAAATACAAGCTAATATTGAGTATTTAGTAGTATCAGCCTCTGTGCTATGCATGTAACAATCATCAGCTCACTTAATTCCGGGAGGTGCCTGGATTTACCTGCAACCTTCCCTCTGAGACTCCACCATGACATCCTTCCTTCCCTACCTGCTACAGGTGGAATCACTGACCACAGAGTTGTCTGCTGAGCGCAGTTTCTCAGCCAAAGCAGAAAGCGGACGACAGCAACTGGAACGGCAGATGCAGGAGCTACGGGGACGCCTGGGTGAAGAGGATGCTGGGGCCCGGGCCCGCCAAAAGATGGTCATCGCTGCCCTTGAGTCTAAGTTGGCCCAGGCTGAGGAGCAGCTGGAACAGGAAAGCAGGTGGGTGGGAGCAGAGGCCGTGGGTGGAGGAAGACCCCCACATTCTGGTCCGGGAGAGGAAGGGGAGCTGTGTTACAAACATCTGGTTTAGAAACATCCAAAGGCATCATAATATTAATGATTCTGATTTCCTATATCATTTAGGATGCTTTGAGCTGCAAGTAACTGCAGTCCCATTAAGAGTATGACTTACACAATAATGTAGCAGTCAGCTATAGCTGTGTAACAAACCACCCTAAAACTTAGTGGCTTAAAACAACAACCATTTATTATTGCTCATGAGTCTTTGGGCTGGCTAGTAAGTTCTGCTGATCTGAGCTTGGTGGGCTTCACTTATACATCTTTGCTCAGCTGAGGATCAGCTAGATGGATTTGCTCATCTTGTTTGGATTTTCATAAGTCTAAGGCCTTGCCTAGGACAACTAACTTGTCTCTGCTCCATGTGGCCTCTCATCTTCTAGCAGCCTAGCCCAGGACTGTTCACATGGCAGAGTCAAGGTTCCGAGGGCAAGGGGAAGTGTTAAAGACTTCTTGAGGCCTATACCTGGAACTGGTACTATGTCACTTCTACTGCATCCCATTAACCAAAGCAAGTCATGTGCCTAGCTCAGATCCAAGGGTTTGAGGAAATAGATATTGCTGCTTGGTGGGAGCAGCCACAAAGTCATATTGTCAAGGATGTGGCTGCAGAAAGGGATGAGAATTGGGACAGTTTTTTCCATGAATCTGTCACAAAGAATAATGCCTTTTTCTTGCATGATAAGAAGTATGGAGCCAGGCGGCCAAAAGATGGTAGGGTTCTGGGTCAGCGCCTGTGTAGTTTCCTTGGTCTCCCTCATGGTTACAAAATGGCTGCGCACACGCCAAGCACCACACCCATACGTGTCCATATTCAGAGCCAGGAAGCAGCAATAGTATGACCCTGAAAGAGGTGTCATCTCCAGTTGCTGGAACAACCAGAAACACCCCCATAACATTCCCGGTTGAGAACCACCATGCTAATTAAACTAAGAGAATATTTATTACTAAGCCTAGTATATGTGGCTTGTGGATTTTTCTATTGTTCAATACTATTCAGCAACAATAATTACAACAATACTAATAGTTCCCACTTACTTAGGACTTACGGTATATCAGGTGCTGAACTACCTGTATATACCTGTGCATCACATAATCCTTGTGAGAGAAGGACCATTGTAATCCATTGTAATCCTTATTTTATATATAGGAAAACTGAAGCAGAGATGGGCTGTAAATCTAGGATGCCTGATTCACAATTCAGCATCTCTGCCATCATTTGGTTGGGGAGGAGCGTTGCTATATACCAAACGATGGATAAGGTTCCCTTTTGTGTTTGTTCATTCATTTAACAAACGTGTTACGAGTATGCTGTTTACCCTCGCATGCACTGGGCACTGGAGAAATGATGAAGAATTAGACATTCCTGGTCCTTGCCCCCATGGAGGGCATGGTCTGGCAGGATTCCCCACCCGAGCTAGACTCAGGTGTTACCTTTGTCACTGAGTCTCCACACATCCCTCCTTTCAGACCAGGGCTGTCCCCTCACTCCACAAGGAGAAAGACTCCCGAGCTAGACATGGCAACAAATGCCTGTGAACTAGGAGGGCTGGGAGGACAGAGATGAAGGAGAAGCTGGATCAGTCTGAGATGCGGTGATTTGGGAAGGATTTCTAATGGAGGAAACACTTGAACTGGCCTGGCAAAAATGAGAAGATTTGCAGGGCATGGAGTCCCAAGCAGAGTGGCAGCCTCAGGGGAAGATATGGAAGGCATCAGGGCATTTGGAGGAATGTGATTCGTTCTGGGAATCTGAGACCGGGAGAGGGATCAGGGAGGCAAGGGAGGTAGACAAGGCTTGAACCACACAGCCTCCAATGCCGGGCTGAGGAACTCTGTCCTGGGGGCAATGAGGAGCCATGGGAGGGCTGTGAGCTGGGGAGGGGCAGGGCCAGCTCTAGGTATAGAAAGACCCCTCTGGGGCCAAGTTGAGAATGGACTAGAGAAAGACAGGAAGCTGAGAGGTCTGGAAGGAACCTGGAATGATGGTCCCAACAGAAGAAGATGAGGACTGAGCTAGGGCTGGAGCTGTGAGGATAGACAGGAGGGGACGAAGAAGAGAAATCATGGGGCAGAAGGGGTGGAGCTGAGAATGGATGGGCTGTGGGATGTGAAGGGGGAAGAAGACAGTGTTTGTGGTTAAGGCTTGGTGACTGGGGGAATATTGGGGTTTGGAGGGGGAAGGTGCTGGATTCATCATGGGACATGGTGAGGCCTCAGGGACAGACAGAAGGAAACAGCCCCAGAGGCTTATGGGAGAAGTAGTTCTCAGTCCACAGGGTTGGCCATGGGCCCCAGTGTGCATAGGAAATGTGGTTGGAGGTCTTTGGAGAGGCCTTCCAGAAGCTAATGGGTACACAGGTCTGAGCCCCTCCACTATACATTATATAGATGAGGAAACTGAGGTTCAGAGGAGGTAAGCGACCTGCTGAAAGTCACCCTGTGAACAAAGAATGGCCAGATGATCCATAGCTGGAGGAGTCTCTGCCCTGCATCCCTTTCCACTCCTTAGTGCCCTCCCTCTTCCCTCCAGCCCTGTGCCTACCTCTCAGCACAGCTGGGGCTGTCTTGTCTAGCTGTGGCTGCCGAGCACTGCCCATTGCTGGGGGCCTCATCATATGGCCTTCACCCTGGGTGTGATGGTCCATACAGGAGAGGACAGGTAGAGAGGCAAAAGAATTTTCCTTCCCCCCACTGAAGGTTTGAGTCTGCTGAAATAAACTGACAAGAAATAGATTAACAAAAGAAAAGGCATGCAAATTTGTTAATGTGCATGAGCATGGCAGCCATATAAAATATGAGACTCAAAGAAAGGCCAGATGGTTGAGGCTTAAATACACTCTTCGTAGGGGTGGGAGAAATGGAGAATGTAGGCAGTTGTGAAGGATAGCAAATAAATTTGAGGGGCAATGAATGGGCCCAAAGAGCAGACAGTAGTTTTTAAATGATTCTCTTTGGAAACTGAATGAGACCAAATACATATGTATTATAAATCACAATATCACAGGAGACATTTTTAGGAACTCAGTTATCATAGTAGAAGTCAAGGACATAGATGCCCTCGAGAAGGGAGCCTGGGTATCACTATCTGGCGGAATAAACTGTGGGAGCCACTTGGGGGGTAGGAAAGAGGGAAGAGGCCAGCCCAAGAACAGGATGACAGCCACTGGAGGAGGCTATGGGGACAGAACCGCAGGTTGAGTGCCTCTACTGAGACGATTCCTCATCCCTCCCTTCAGAGAGCGCATCCTCTCTGGCAAGCTGGTGCGCAGAGCTGAGAAGCGGCTTAAAGAGGTGGTGCTCCAGGTGGAGGAGGAGCGGAGGGTAGCTGACCAGCTCCGGGACCAGGTAAGCAGCTGACATCATTACGGAGCAGTGAGGAGTGGGGCCATTGACTGAGAAATAGCACAGTCCATCTCTGGAAGCAGTGAGCTCTCAACACAAGAAGCAACTTGCAGGTGCCGGACTACAGCCGAGTGCAGATACCATCCTGGGGCTTGGTCCATCAGCAGAGGGTTGGAATCAGTGACTTTGCAGTCCATCAATTCTGGCATCCAGGAAGGGCCCTGGTAGGGAGCTGAGGCTTACAGGATGAGGGAAAAAATTAAACCATACCCAGAAGCTAGACCAGGACTAAATAACGATAGATAATGTTTATTGAATGCTTTCTACATGCTAGGCAATATGCTAAAGACACAACATGTAGTACATATCAGAACCCTATGAGGTAGGTACTATTATTTCCCCTGTTATTCAGGTGAGGAAGCTGAGGTACAGGAAAGTGAAGTAACTTACTCAAAATTATTTACCTAGTAAGAGGTAGGGTCAGGGTTCAAACCTCAGCACTCTAGCCCCAGAGTCTGCTCTTAATTATTTATTGAGCAGTTATTGTGTCACAAGCGACTGCTTTTTAAAAAATACACACTTGTATTTTTTCACAGGTGAGGAAACTGAAACTTTAAGAGTGAATATAATTTGCATCAAAGTCACAGAGTTCGTAGGTGGATAGTGCCCAGATCCAGATCCCAGGTCTGTCTGACTAGACAGAGTTCCCGTGCCCTTAAAAGCTCAGCTGTGCTTGATTTGCCATTCATTCCACAAACAATTATTGTGCACCCACTACATGCCAGGAACTGTGCTAGGCATTAGGGATGTGGATGTGAATGAGACAGAGGTGGTCCTTGCCTTCATGGAACTCACATTTTCAGCACAGGAAAAAGCATAGTAAACCCATAAATAAACAAAGATGATTACAGACTGTGACAAGGACTGTGAAGCAAAAAAGAATGAAGAAAGAGGAAGACACAGAGTATTGGGGGATCTTCTTTAGATTGGGAGGTCAGGAAGACCTCTCTGAGGAGGTGAAATTTGAATTGAGACCTGAATTTGAATTGAGGAAGAACCAGGCAGAGGGAACAGCAAGTTCAAAGGCCTTAAGTATGAAATAAGCCTGGTGAGTTCAGAGCAAGAAGCAGACCAGTATGGCTGGAGAGAAGAATGGTGTGATAATAAATGAGGTCAGATCATGTGTGTTCGCTTCCTGGAGAACGAGATGGCAGGGTCTGGGGAGGATCTCAGTGAAGTTGGTCTGGACAGTGGGTTCATGGGAAAAAGAGAAATGGATAAGAATAAGACCCTGCAGGGCCTGAAATGTGAGGCTCAGGGGCTGGAACCTTGTCCCAGTGGTACTGGGGAGCTAGGAAAGGGTTGTGAGCATGGAGGTTCAAGGTCAGCTCTGAGCATAAAAACACCCCTCTGAGGACATGTGGGGGATGGCCTGCAGGGGAGAGATTGGAGGCCAGGGTGGAGGCTGGTATGAGGGTCTTAGAAGAAAAGGATAAGGCCTGAACAGAGAGCAGGTGACAGGTCAGAGAGAGTCAGGGGAGAGGGGGGATGGCGCTGAGAATTAGAGGGCTGTTGAGGAGGGAAGGGGTGAGGAGAGTACCCAGAGATATGACCCAGTGCCCTTGCTCCTGCCAAGCTGGAGAAGGGAAACCTTCGAGTGAAACAGCTGAAGCGGCAGCTGGAGGAGGCCGAGGAGGAGGCATCCCGGGCTCAGGCTGGCCGCCGGAGGCTGCAGCGTGAGCTAGAGGATGTCACAGAGTCCGCCGAGTCAATGAACCGCGAGGTGACCACGCTGAGGAACCGGCTTCGGTATGGCTGCCCCACACATATGCCTGATGGGTGGGCAGCACCCTCACTCCATAAACCTCAGGGATGCTAGGCGAAGGCCTTGCCAGAGACAGCAAGAGGGAAAAATGGGGTCCACGGGTGTGTGGGGGCATGGGAACAGGAGCCGTGTTTGCGGAGAGCCAGATTCAGGTGACTTCTCTTTCTCCCCATCCCCATTTCTCTCTCGGTCTTATCTGTGTGCCCTCCCTTTTCTCATTTTGTACCTCCATCTTTCTGCCCATTCCCCACATCTTTCTGTCCCTTTGTGTCTCTGTCCCCCAAATATCTGTCCCCATCTCTGTCCTCCCATCTTTCTGTCCCCTGATCTCTCTGTGGTCCCACCATTGCCCTCTGCCCGTCTCTCTCCATTTCTCCTGACCTCGTCTCTCGCTCTCTCTTCCTCTCTCTTTGTTTTCTCTCTCTCTCTCTCCCCCCCATATCTCTCTCTGCTCCCCTCACTTCATCTCTGTGTCCTGGTCTCTCCTCCCCACAGACGCGGCCCCCTCACCTTCACCACCCGCACGGTGCGGCAGGTCTTCCGACTAGAGGAGGGCGTGGCATCCGACGAAGAGATGGAGGAGGCAGAGCCGGGGTCTGGGCCACCACCCCCGGAGCCTGAGGGGTCCCCACAAGCCCAGCCCCAGTGACCCCACCCTGCCCCCAGATACACTAACAGACAGGACCCAGGTCCCTTCCTCCCTGGCCCCTGTGGGCACGTGTCCCAGAAACCCCACTCTCTGGCTTCTTGCACTTTGGAAATGGTGCCACCCTTGGGCACTTTGGCATTTATCAACCCCACCCTGGGCCCCCTGAGACCTCCCATCAACCAATGACCCCTGAACACAGAGGAGTGGGGCTCTCTTGCTTGTGGGGAAATTGGGTACAGTTGGCGAGCTGTGGTCCCATCAGCTCCCCATCCTTTCTTCGGTTGTTAATGATCTTTACGTATTAGGAGCAAGATGGGCTCCCTGCCCTACTCAGACAGTGCTCCGTTTCCTCTGCTTCTCCCTTCCTCCCTCCCTTGGTCTTTCTCCTTCTCTGCATCTCTCTAGGAATCTTGCTCTCACACTTTTGTATCTCCACGTAGCCACTCTCCTTCCCCCATTTCTGCCCCTACCCCTAAACTTCTGAGTGACCGAAGCTTGAGCCCCAGGCCTCCACCAGCCTCGAACCTTTGCAAGGAGCAGGACGAGGGGACCCCTCTCACTCCCCTCCTGCCCCATGCTCTGCCCTCCCTTCTGGTTGCTCTTGTGTGATCAAGGTTTGGAGTTTCCCCGGGAGGCTGGAGGAATCTCCCTTACCCTCCCAGCCTCTCGGCTCTGGCAGTAATAAACTCCAGCCCCCAACTGGACCCTTCACGACCACTGCGTGTGTTCCTGCAGGGGGTCTCTGATGGGGGGAGGGATGGCCATGGACTTCTTCAGCCTGCTGGGGCTGCAGGTGGGGTTCTCATCATCATAGCTGTGCCAGTGTTTGGGGGAACCTCCTGGGGACGAGACACTTAATGGGAAATAACTCATTTCCTCCTCACCCCATTATATAATATAATGGAGATACTCCCTCCGCTATACAGATAAGAAAACTGAGTCTCAGAGTAGCGTTGTCTCTGACTCCAAGCCCCCCAGTCAGTGAGTACCAGAAGGGGTACCACACTCCAGCCAACTCCCAAGTCTTTGCAAAAACATGACAGCAGTGACCAGTGACCATTTGTGCTGGGCACTATGCTCAGCACGTCTGTGTCAACCCTCAGCACAACCTTACAGGTGGGGATTTCATTGCTCTCCAGTGCCCGGAACAGTGCCTGGCGCACCGTAGGCATTCAGTAAATGTTTGATGAATGAATGAATGATGCCCATCCAGTACTTTTAGAGTGGTGGGGACAGGCCCAGAGAGGCCGAGCACCTTGTCCAAGACACACAACTACTAGGAAGTAGAAGCAGGGTTTGAGCCCAGGCAGTCTGGCTTCCAGAGCGTGGGACCCGCAGCCCCTGAGCGCACAGTGGGACCAAGGCAGGCACTTGCCCCAAATAGAGTGCCACTGATGGAGGGGATGTCTGGACCACCAAAGTCCACACCCGTGTTACTTTAATATAGCCCCACTCCTGAAGTCGCGATCCCGCTGGGTACCCCCAACTCCAGTCAACATGCCTTCCCAGCAGACGAATGGGAAGCAGCTTTTAAATGAAAAGGAAACTTTTATTTTGGTGGAGAGTGAGAAGGTGGGTGGGAAGGGGGCGTGACACTTTTTCTTTGGGGGGGGTTGACATGCGGCAGCTTCTGCATTGGGCGGTTCATGCACCCAGGGTGGGCGTAGGGGAGGCTTGGGGGAGAGGCCTGCCGACCCCTCCCTCCCTGCCCTGCGGGTGGGCTGAGAAGACCCGCCGTTAGCACCAGAGTTGGACGATTTGCAGACCTCCCCTCCCCACACTGACTCCGGACCCCGCCCCCATCCCTGAGAGCGCCCCCTCGCCACTCCCCCCCTCGACAGCCAGGCCCGCCCCGCCCACATTTGAGTGAGAGAAACTTATTGCTGTGTGTGTGTGTGTGTTGGGGAGGGTGAGCCGCAGAGCTCAGGAAGACCCCCCCGCCATCCGTTCCTCCCCAATCGCCCCGCCCCTGCCCCGTGTCCGTGCGTTCCCGGAGCGCAGGGGGGGTGCGACATGCGTGTGGGGGGCGCGTCATGCAGCGCATGCGTGTAGGTGCAGGCACCCTGGCGGCCGGGGGGAAAAGGGGGAGCCGGACTTAGAAATAGTCCCTTTAGCTCGCTCGCTCTCCCTCCCCGAATCCCACACTGTTGACTTGGGGGAGGGGAGGAAGGGACGAGAATCATGTTGGTAGAAGTTTATGATCGTGGTTATTTTCAAAAGCTGAACTAAAAAGCTGGGTACGTGTGGTGGATTGGCGAGCAGGGGGAGACGTTGGGAAGAGGTCAGTACCCTTTGGAAAAGACCCTCAGCCCCTTTCCCCCGCCCCATTCGGCTTTCGTGAGGGTCAGGGGAAACTGGGGGCTTTTTAAAGAAGTTGAACCCTTTGGCAATATAATCAGTCCCCACCCCATACCCTGGTGTCAGGAGCCCCTAGCCCTTTGCCCCACCCCCACCAGAACCCGCCCCACCCTCACCCCTGGTTCACCAGGGTTTAGGGTCCGAGGGAAGGATGGGGGGACTCAAAATGCCCCTTGCATAGGAATCGTTGCATCAAGAACCACGCCCAGTGACGCCCCTCGCCCACCCTCGGGTGGGGGGAGGGGATTCCTGAGGCCGTGGGAGCAGAGGGAGGGAGGTTGCTAATTCCGTGGGCCCCCGGCTCCAAAAGGGGGGTCCGCTAAGGATTCTGGGACCGGTGTGGTCTCTGGGCTTGGGGGAGGTAGCGCATCCTTGAGCCAGGATGGGATGTGAGAGACGATCTTTTGTGAGCACGGCGGGGCGAGGAACGCCGGGGAAGGGACCGCTGCGGTGGCAGCAGGGTTGTGTGTGTCGTTGCCCGGGCTTCCGAGATGCCAGCGTTTCTCCGCTCGGGCACAGTCTTCATGATCACTTGTGGACTACTTTAAATGGAAACACTTTCAGCCTAAATAAACGGTGTCCTAGCCGAGCAGCAATACCTGGAGGTACAGGCTTATGTGCAAAATGTGCACATTAAAGACAAAACTTTTAAAGCAAGTGTTCGTCCTTGTACTGCCTAAAACTTTAGCGCACCGCCAGGGGTACGAATATGACCCTCTGGGAAACTGGTGTCCGTGAAGAGGGTAGGTTTGGGGCCCCATCTCAGCGAAGGGGCTTTGGGGGTACGGGGGAGGGTTAGGCTTGAGAAAGGGAGGTGCCTGAGTTCCCCGGAATTGCAGACAAGTAGAGCCTATCTCGGAAGTTCTAGCCTCAGGGGAACCTCGGGTGGATGACTCTGATGTTAGGGATTTGGGGGTGTCTGGGGGAGCAGGCCTGAGGATTTGGGGTGTCCAGGGAATGTCAGAGTTGTGGGAAGGACTTGGAGCATCCCAAAGGCTGAAATCGAGCTGAAGAGCTGGGTGAGGTCTTGGAGGTCTGAGAAGTGCTGGGATGCAGTCCAGGGAATTTGGTGGGGGTGTCTGGGGGAGGCGGGTAGCATCTGTGTGCAGAGGTTAAGTCCCAGGAGTGTGTGGGGATTTGGGGGGCGGGGCGCCAGGGTCAGTTTCGGGAATTCTGGGTGCAGGTCTCGTGTCCTGGGAATGGAGGAGGCGGGGACTGTGTGTGCTAGGGCCAAATCATCCCAGGACATCCGGGATGGGAGGTCTGAGTCCATGCGGCAAGAGTAGAGGCGAGCAGATCCCTGGGGGAGGGGAGGATGAGAGGGTGAAATTCACCAGAGGGATCCCCCTACAGGCTGGGGGAGCAGGCCTGCAGCCCACCCCCACGCCGCAGCCCGCCTTCTGAGCTCAGCTCCGGTTTTGGGCTTGGGTAACTGTTCCTCCTTCCTCTATGTTATTTCAAGTTTTTTGTTTTTCCTGCCCATGATGGGTTGGTTGCCCTCCTGGGGTGATGGGTAGGAGGCCAGCCCGACCCCCTAGAGGGGCCAGCCCCCCTCCCAGATTGCCCCTTCCCTCAAACTCAAGCGTGCAGCCCCTGGCGGCTTATTGCTGACGTGGAGTTGGAGTAGGGGGTCCAGGATAGGGGGCATGCAGTGTGGGGGGAGGTGCCCCAAGATGTAATTGGCATAATTTGGACTTATTTACACTGAGTCAGTCGATGGGAGGGGGGTGTCCTATGGCTCATGGAGACCTGAGAAGGCTTTTTTTAGGGGGAGGAGGGAAGAGTTGGGGGGACGGGCTTTGACCCCTCTCCCTCCATCCTGGGGTCCCAGGTTGGGGGGGTGAGGGGCCCGGGGGTGTCTGCTGGCGTCATCATCTCGGTTGCATATTATTAATGACTTTGATTTTTTTTAAAAAACCCATTCCCCCACCCCCCACCCCCAGCTCCTTTGACCTTCTTCCTGGTCACCCCCGAGTCCCCCCACAGGGGGGAGGGGAGCGCTAGAGGATGGAGGGCAGGGTAGGGGGAGCGCGGCGGGTGGCCCGGGGAGAGCCAGGGGGGGTGGCAAGGGGCGCGAGGCGCAGGGACACCCCGCTCAGGCCCGCGATGCTGCTCAGGCTGCGGGATTTCTCGTAACCTGGGGAGGGAGGGCAGAAACACCGGGAGGAAGCGTGGAGATGGGGGCGGGACCCCCAAGACAGGGAGAAGAGACAGAGAGAGAACGAGATGGAAGGAGAGGGTAAGAGATACCCAGACAGAGAGACAGAGACAGAGAGAGAGAGATGGGGAGGAAGACAGAGAGGAGAAGAGACAGGGAGAAGAGACAGAGAGAGAGAGACACGGAGACACAAAAAAACAGATGGCAAGAGACAGAGAGGGACAGAGGCGGACCAAGGAGATGGAGAGAGAAAGCGAACAAATTGGAGAGTCAGTCAGCATCGACGAGGAAGGTTGAGACATTGGGGAGGGGGGAGAGACTCAGGATTAGGAGGCGGGGTGGTGCCCACCGAGCCTCCCCGCCCCACCCCCACCGCGGCCCCCCTCCGACCCCCGCCCCGTAGGTCCCCCTCATCTGAGGCAAAAAGGTGGGGGCAGCGAGGCGAGATGGTGGGCGGCAGGGGCATGGGGAGGGCTGGGTGGAATGCATGTAGGGGAGCAGCCGGTGCGGGGGGCTTGGGGGGACCGGGCCGGGCCAGGGTAGGGGCTAACCTGGCTGTAGGGAGAAGAGGGAAGGCGGGGTGGGTCTGTGAGGGGCCGAAAGGAGCAAAGCCGGCGGTGCCCTTGGGGAGCCGGAGGAGGACTCCAAGAGCAGGCGTCATCGGAGGGTTCTAAGTGGGGTGGGGGGATCTTTAAAGGGTCCGAGAAGGCTTTGGGCTTCTGCTGGGGGAGGGGCGGTCTCCGGCAGTGCCTCGTAGCTAATGCGACCCAAGATCCAGGGGCAGTGCGCGCGGTTTCTGCAAAGCTTCCGAGCTCTGCCAGCCTCGGGGCAGTTCTGTGGCTTCTCTGAGCAATGCTAAGGGGGCTGTCTGGACAAGGGTGTCTTGACTGCAGGAGAGAGGGCTTGGGGGACTGAAGCCCAGTATCTTGGGGACACTCCCTCCCAGCCATTCCCAATTGCTAACCTGGGGGGAAGGGGCAGGGGGGGACCGAGGGTCTCGCGAGGTCTCAGGCGGTGACAAGAGCTGGGGACAGAAATACACAAGAGTCACGGCGGCGGGAGGAGGATCAGGGGGAACCCCCCAACACGGCCTCACTGTTGGGGGGACGGAGAAACGCCCGGATCTCTTCCTCCTCTCTGGTGTTTTCCGCGGGAGGGGAGCAGGGAAATGGGGGCAGCCGAGACATCAAATATGGACGGAGCTTCCGGGGTGGCTGGAGGGAGGGGGCAGGGGAGGGTGCAGAGGGCGAAGGAAGGGAGGAAGTGGGGACGGGGTGGGGCGTGTGGGGCTTAGGTGGTTGGTGAGGGAAGGTGTAGGAGAAAGGGGTAGGGGTGGGGGGCAGGCTGGGAGAGAGGGAGCGTCTTGGGAGGACCTTGTGGGGACAGTTGGGGAGGGAAGGTCGTGGAGGAGTCTTAGGGGTAGGAGGGGTGGGGGCGACAGAGGAAAGAGGGTCTTGGGGCAGGATAGGAGGAAGAGGGGCGTGGGGCAGGGGAGGAGCCCGGGAATCGGGCATCGGAGGCAGATTCAGCCAGCCCCATCAGCTCCAGCCATGATTTGAGTTCAATGAATGGATTTTGGCATCATAGGCAAGAGAAGCAGGGACCTCCCCCGCCCAGCCACCCCCACCCCAATCCTCCCTCACCCGAATTCCCAAATCTTCCCCAGCCCCCATCCCATTATTTCCACGGGGGCCCTCGAGACCTAGGGGTGGGGAACGAAGGGGGGGTAAAGGGCTGGGTGCAAGCAGGGGCGGGTTAGATGGGAGCGGGGAGGGGGTGGGAATGAGATGAAAATGGACGATGATGGGGGGTGCAAAAAGGAGAGGTGGAGGGATGGAACCAGAGGAGCCAGACAGTCCCCTCTGGACCAGGAGCCCGGAAACCTGGCTCTTGTCCCACCTGCTCTGTGGCCTGGGGTGGTTGGGCATGGCCCTCCCTGAACTCCCGTGAAATGTGAGCGTTTAGCCAAGGCCAGCCCGGAGGCTCCCCAGGCTTCCCTGTGGCATCTCCTTAGGCTGTGGGCAGAGATCCCCTAGGATGTGTCTCTGTTTCTAAGGAAGAGTACACAGGTTTGTGGAATAAGAGAGGGATCAAACACCTTCAGGTGGCTCCCATCACATTAAGATCAAATCCAGCCTCCTCACCATGGCAGCAACACCCATCCTGACCTTTCTCCCCAGGCTCCTCCTGCATCCCTCTCCCCTCTGCCACTTGGCTGCAGCCACACTGCCCTCCCTGCTGTTCCTTAACAAGCCAAGCTCATCCCACCCAGCGCCTCAGGGCCTGTCGCACTGGCTGTTCCTTCTGCCTGGCTGGCCCTTTGCATCCTCCAGGTTTCGTGTCACCCGCTCAAAGAAATTCTCTGTAGATCTCCTTAACGGACATGGCCAGAGTAATTAGCTTGTGCTTTTCTCTTTTTCTTAATTATTTTCTGCTTCCTCCAATCAGAGGTTGGCAGATAGTAAGTCTTTTTGGCTACGGGGGCCATACAGTCTCTGTCACAATTATTCCGCTCTGCTGTGGTAGCCTAACATGGGGCTGTGTTCCCATAAAGCTTTATTTACAAAAACAGTTGGCTGAAAGATTTGGCCCGCGTGCTGTATAGTTAGTTTGACAACCTATGCTTTGGGTTGCAAACTGCTGTCTACAGCCAGGCCATGCCGCCCTGAACGCTCCCGATCTCATCTGAGCTCAGAAGCTAAGCAGGGTCGGGCCCGGTTAGTACTTGGATGGGAGACTGGAAACAGTGATGGCAGATGCTTGCTTTCTCCACTGCAAAGCTCCAGTGCCTGGAACTGTGCTCCTAAAGATTAGATTAGCTGCTGAATGAATGAATGACCGAATACATGAAGGAAAAGGAGCTAGGGGTTGGCTAGGGTTGTTATTAACAGGACGAAACAACATATGTTAAATAAAATATCTAGCATGTGGTAAGAGCTTGATGGTGTCTTCCTGTCCCCCTCACCTCGGCACAGCCATCAGTCCCCATCTGTCCCCGCTCCTGGACAAGGTCCCAGCCACCAGCCTGGCCGCTGCTTCCCTGCCACATCTCTACCTCCTAGTCCCTCTGCCCCTAGGACATGGCTCCCAGGCTGTTTGTGTGGTTCCCTCTGGTCTCTAGTAATGGGATCACTGCCCCGGCTGCTGGCAGAACCCTGCGGTGCTGTAAGTCTCAAGCAAGCCACATGGAGTCCCCGTGCCCCCTTCCACCCTGGGGAGCTTTGTGAGCTCCTCTGACAGTGCTGCCTGTGCTGCCTCCATTGTAGCATGTGTCGCCTCGACAGTGACTTTCTAGGTCTGTGTCTGCCTCCCCGTCCAGACTGGAAGCTCCTGGAGGGGGTGGATTTTGTTCGCGGCTGAGCTCCCTGTGCTCTGCACCCGGGGCACGTGGGTGCTGGCTGAGTACTGGCTGGATTTGCAGGGGAGTGGGCAGGCCGCTGAGCCTTTCTCACCCCATCCTGCACCCAGAGAAGCATCCTGGGGGTGCACCCTGTTTTCCTGATTGAATACAAAAATCCAATTGGGGGTGTGTGCAGAGAAGGAGATGTTGATGGGGAGGATGGGGCTCCGTCGTGAGGGCAGGGCGGAGGGCAGGGCGAGGTGTGGGAGGCAGGGCTGGGGTTAGTGCTGGGGGTTAGCAGGGGGCAGGGTGTGTCCCGGGTGGGGGTCAGTGTCAGGCGCTGGGGTTAAGTGGATGAGCTGTTTAGTGAGGGGGCAGGAGCCTCGGTCAGTGGGGGATGCACGTTCTCAGAGGGGTTAGTCAGGAGGGAGGGGGGAGTCAGGGGGATCAGAGGGTGGGGGCTACTTACCCCGGGGGGAGGGGATTCGTCCACTAGGGGGATATCCAGGCCGCAGCGTTGGCGTTGAGGTCGGGCAAGAAGCTTGGGGGGCCTGGCTTACGCCAGTCTAGGGGGGGCAGTGGGGGAGCACCGGTGGCTGGGGGTTGGGGAAGAGGCCAAAGGGGGAGGAGGAAATGGAGATGGAATAAAGACAGGTGAAGGGTCAGTGGAAAGGAAACTTGGGGCAGGTGGGGGGGTATCTGGGAGGGAGGCAGTTTGGGGCAGGGGAGGAGGGAAGGGAAGTCCGGCACCTCCGCCCCCATCATCCTCTCCTCCCTCCCCTGGGCCAGGGAGAGAGGGAGGGTCCCAGGGGTCAGCGGATGGGCCTCACCTTTTCGGATGGAGCCATCAGGGGAAGGGGCATAGTCGGTGAGGAGGAAGCAGGCCCGGTCCCGGCTGTAGCGGCCCCGGCTTCCGGGTGTGATGGGGCTCTTGTCCTCCGGGGACATGGCGGGCTGGTCGATGGCCGGACAGTCCTCGTGGGCAAGTGCAGCTGCCGCTGGATCCCCATTGGGGCGGGGATCTGCATCCCAAGGGGATCAGACAGAGACACAAAGGAGAGAGTGAGGTGCGGGGGACTCGTGGTGGGGACGCGAGGGTCCGAGTGGGTGCTGGAGGAGTTGGAGAGGGATGTTGGATGCTGAAGCGGAGACTCAAGGCCAAGGTGTTGGGAAGGGCACAGTGGAGAGTGGGATATCAAGAGGGCGTGGCCGGGGTGTGCAGAGGGTCGAACATGGGGGGAGGGCATTGTGTAGGGAAGGGTGGGCAGGGTGGGTATGGAAGCGGCTGGTTGAGGGAGGTGTGGAGTGCTAAGAAGTGGCAGGCCAGGTGGCGGGGGGGTGTGGGGTGTCTGGAGGGCCGGCTGGGGGCAGTGAGCTGGCTGATGGGTGGTGGGCTTGGCTGGGGCCGATGGGAGGCAGGTTGGAGAGGATGCGGAAGGCTGCGAAGTGGCTGTTTAGGGACGAGTGTTGGGTGCTGGAAAGGGCACTGGGGAAGGGCTGGGAAGGTGATAGATGGGGGGGCGGTGGGGGTCCCCTAGGCTCTGGCTCGAGCTATTTTTAATTGGTGTGAAATTGGGTCAGTGGCTGAGGGAGCAAGATGGGGGCCAGGCGGGCCCGCTCCCTTTCTTGACCTACTTAAGGCTTGGGGGTGGGGCCCAGCAGCCTCGCCCTCCCTCCAGACACCCATCTCTGCCTCCGAGGCACAGACTCCCCAGAGGAGACACACACACTCACACACACACACACACACACACACACACAGAGGCAGTCAACTTTCTCCCCCCACCTCGCCCCTGCTTCATCTCTTCGTCTTAGCAACATCTCCAGCCGTCTCTCTCCCAGCCCCTCTCAGGCTGCCCCCAGCAAAGCCCATGGGGCCTGGTTTCCAAGTCATCCTCCTGTCACCCTGGCCCCTGAATCTTAGTTTGGAAGCCTGTCTTCCCTTCTTGGTCTCACTGTTGTTAAAACCTGAACTCTCGGCCGCCCTCTGCCTCGCTGGTCCCTCTGAACACCCAGGTTGCAAGTCTGTTTCTCGCTGCAACTCGTTCACACGAAATCTATGTCTGTCCATGCCTCCTGCTTGGCCTGAGCTCTAGCTGCTCCTTTCTTCTCTCTCCCCTCTCTGCTGCTGACCACCCGGTCTCAGAACCTTGACAGCTTCCTCCCTGTTCTCCCCCAGGCCTCCACCTGTGCCCCCCGCCCCCACCCTCACACCCAGCCTCACCTGCCCGGTTGATCTCAATCACCTCCTCTTGAGCCAACGGGCAAGGCTCACCAGGGGCCGGCAGAGGAGGCAGCCCCATGATCCCCAGCCCCCCCGCTCCCCCCCTGAGCAGCCCGGGGTGCGTGTGGGGCCCCGGGGGGTAGGCCCCGGCCACAGTCACCCCCATGGAGGGCGGCGTGATGGGTGGCGGCGGGCTGATGCCGCCGCTGCCATGGTGAGGGTGGGGTGGAGGTGGTGGGGGTGGGTCAGGCTTGCAGTAGTTGGGCGAGCCAGGCTGCGGGGGCCGGGGAATGTGTTTGTTCTTCTTCTTGGGCAGCTTCTGCTTGGCCATGGCCAGCGAATAGTACATGCCAAAATTGTTGACAATGACGGGCACAGGCATGGCGATGGTGAGCACCCCCGCCAGAGCACACAGCGCCCCGACCAGCATCCCTGACCACGTCTTGGGGTACATGTCTCCATAGCCCAGGGTCGTCATGGTGACCACAGCCCACCAGAAGCCAATGGGGATGTTCTTGAAGTAGGTGTGGTTGGAGCCCAGGATGTCATCAGGGTCGGCGCCAATGCGCTCAGCATAGTAGATCATGGTGGCAAAGATAAGCACCCCCAGGGCCAGGAAGATGATGAGCAGCAGGAACTCGTTGGTGCTGGCGCGGAGCGTGTGGCCCAGCACACGCAGCCCCACGAAGTGCCGGGTCAGCTTGAAGATGCGCAGGATGCGGACGAAGCGCACAACCCGGAGGAAGCCCAGCACGTCTTTGGCGGCCTTGGAGCTGAGCCCCGAGAGGCCCACCTCCAGGTAGAAGGGCAGGATGGCGACACAGTCGATGATGTTGAGGCTGCTCTTGAGAAACTCCACCTTGTCCGGGCAGAAGGTGATGCGCATGAGGAACTCGAAGGTGAACCAGACCACGCACACGCCCTCCACGTAGGTCAGGAAGGGCTCCGTCTCCACCTCCACGTTGGTGACGTTCTCCGGCGGAGCCCCGGGGATCGGAGAGGCCTGCGTCACCGTCTTGTTGCTGATGTGGATGAAGCCCTCATGGGTCTCCAAGCAGAAGGTGGTGATGGAGATGAGGATGAAGAAGAGCGAGGCGAAGGCCACATACTGTGGGGTGGGGCAGGAGAGAGAGGGGGAGAGGTGACCTAGGCATCGGGTCGACCAGAATCTCCAGAAAACCATTCCAGTGTCCCCCTCCCCAGCTTCCTAGGCTCAAGCTCCAGGGGGAATCCAGGTGTCCCAACCCTCTGGCTCCTTCCCTTCCAGCATCCTGTTGTCCCCTTTAAAGCTAACAACAGGGGAGAGAAAGGAACAGAAGCAGTGGGAGAGGAGCTGGCCCCAGCAGACGCAGCAGATGGGCAGCTTCTTCCTTGGCAACAGCATCCTGGCCCCTCGCTGTCTCCTAGACCACCTCCCCCCACGCTCCTGTTCCCTGTGTCCTAGCTCAGGGCTCCCTGGCAGGGTCCAAGGGTTCTGCTATGGGACAGGGACCAGGGGGCCTAAGGTCATACACCCTCTTTCTCAGAGGGTTTGGGGCTCAGCTTGGACCTGGGGGAAGGGGAAGGGGTGAAAGTGGGTGGGGAGGCAGAATCAAGAGGTGCTTAAGAGTCAGAAAGTCTGGGTTTGAATCTGGCTTTTAACCTGCCAGTCTTGGGCAGGGAGATTGAGCTTTCTGAACCTCGTATTTTTACGCGAGTGTTGTGAGGATTAAAGTAGATGAGTGTACAAAGGGCTTGGCTCCAAAAACAGTGCTTGGCCCAGTGCCTAGAACACAATAAGCAGGTCTGAGCTGTTACTAGGGTATGGGAGCATCCCTCAGTGGGGGGCCAGGTTGAGACCTCCCCCAGAGAGGACAGGGAAGGGGTGGACCCACAGAGGGGTGGGGGGCTCAGGGCTCTGAAGAGGGGAGGGGTTAAAGGGTTAAGGCTGCAAAAAGGGAAGAGGCTACAGAAGGAGAAAGGGACAGGCTTTAAGGCTCTGGAGAGGACGGGGAGTCATTGTGTGAGAGGGCAGTGCCCGGGCCAAAGAGAGGTGTGGCGCATCATTTTTCAGAGGTGCAGAGAATTGGGAGGAAGGTTCCAGGGCCATTTCAAGGTAGGGGGAGGACCAGAGTCCTGTCGCACAGTAGCGTGGGATTTGATGAGAGCCTTGAAGAGGAGGAGCAGGGTCAAGGTCTGGAGAAGGAGAGGAACGGATCAGGCCCCTGGGGGTGACAGTGGGCTTGATCAGATCTGCAGAGGGTGGGGGAAAGGAAAACCTCGGAGAGGGAAGGAAGATAGGTGTTGTAGTAAAGAGGGGGCTTTTTTTTTTCATGCATACTCAAGTCCCAAAGAGGGGGCTTTAATCAGATGGATAGCGCAGGAGGAAGGCCAGTGTTGGGCCTCAGAGAGGACCCGGGGCCTTGGAGTGGGCCAAGGGCCAGCACTGTCCCTCTGCATCCACCTTCCTTCACGGGGGTGGGGGCGGGGCTCAATCTGAAGTGCAGAGTGGTGGCGGGGCAGTGTCGGGGCCACAGAGAGGGTCCTGGACCTTGGGGTGGGCAGGGGGTCAGCGCTAGCCCTCTCTGCACCCCCCTCTTCGTTTCCCTGCAGTGGTTTAAGAGGCCAGAGGCCTCCGCAGAGCGCATGCCCAGTGCTTCCCCGCCCCCTCCGAGCCGGGCGCGCGGAGCAGGCTGCGGCACCGCAGTGGGGGCGGGCCGGCTGGGCCGGGGGGCGGGGCACACGGCGGCCAGCACCGCGGACAGCTCCCCCGCCGCAGTGCGCAGCCGCACGGGCTGGGACCCGTCTTAACTCCTTCGGGCCGGAGCCAAGCAGGCAGCGCGCAGCCGCAGTGTTGCTGCTTCCCGGAGGGAGGCCACGGGCCAGGAGCTTGATTAACTCCTTCCCTCCCAGGGTAAAGGGAAGGTGGGCACCCGCCGCAGTGCGCAGCTGCAGAGGCTGGACCGCGTCGGGCTGGTTTAACCCTTTGCCCCAGGGTGGCTCAAAAGCCGAAGGAATAGGAGGATTGGCCTCAGCTCCCAACTCTCCCAAGCAATCTCACTTGGAGGCAGGAAAGTGCTTGGCACACCGTGGACACTCAAAAACATTTGTGGAGTAAATGAACGACCCCCGTAGCTGTCCCAGACCCCTAGCCCGAACATCACAGGAAGACTCTACCTTCATCCTCCCCCTCACCTCAGCACCCTTCAGTGGAGTCAGAGGAGGGAAGGGCACCCCAGGCAACCGAGGGAAGGAGCCGCTCAGAGGCCTGAGGGGGCATCTAGGGCCATGGCCCTTCTGAACCTCCTATTCCCCACCTCCCCCCACTCAATCCCAAATCTCGCCAACTCAGCGCTTCCCAGGGACCAAACTTTATGCGGTGTCTCCGGGCCCGCCTCCCCCTCGCTTCCTCCCCCGGCGAATGCGGCACTGCGGCTCCGTGTCCTTCCCAGCTCAGGACGCGGCACGGTGGGGGGAGGGGGCCGGGACCTGCTCCTCCGGGTGCTTGGGTCGCCAGGAGCCTAGGAGGGGGCCTTGGGATCGTTCCTCTTCCCCCTCCTTCCAATTTCACCCATTTTGAACTGCCCCCCTCTTTTCTTCCACTTTCTCCCTCCAGGGTCTGTGGGACAGGGAGGAAGTTAGTAGGAGGAAGAGGTTCAGGGAAGAACGAGGGGGGGAGGGTAGCCATTTAGCCTGGTAAGTTACAGAGTCTTGAGAAAGTTTTCTGGGAAAGATGGAGAGCTTTGGGGGATATCTGGAATTTTGAGGGAGATAAAGCTGGAGGAAAGACAAGGCTGGGTGTGGGCTCTTTGGTTCAGTCTGGTGGAAGAGAGGCTGAGGGGCCCAGTCCTGGGCTTTGGACCAGGAGGGCTTGAGAAAGGGAGATGGCAGGGCAGGGGCAGGGGGGTGGGGCAGGTGGAAAGATCCCAAGGCAGGGTAGAAAGAAGTGAGAGCTATTTTGAGATGAAAGTTTTGGGGCTGATGACTTGAGGAGGGGAGGGGCCCAAGGTTTGAGGTTCGATAAAGTTCTGGAGCAGGAGGGAAAGTCACTTAACAGAGTAGGAAGGGAACAGGGGGCTTTGGAGAGGGGAGCCCAGAGATAGGGTGGGCTGTACAGTTTAAACGATGGAAGGGAAAAGCTGCAAGAGTCTGTGGATGAGGAAGAGCAGTTCTGGGGGACACATGGGGGCTCTGCAGAGGAAAGGCATACGGTGGGGGCCCCCGGAGACACTGAGGAGTAAGAAGGCTTGGGGGGAGTCTGCAGCTTTACGGGCAAAGTCTGTGGGATGGGAGTTGGCATGGAGGATGCCAGGAAAGAGTGAGCACAGAGGGGGCTGGGAGGTTGGGGGGAAGGTGCCCCAAGACTCAATGTTGCAGTGAGGGGGAGGGGGAAGTGTCCTGGCTAGAGTAAGTGCTTTGTAGGTTCAGAAGGGTCCAGGAGGTTCCCAGATTGGGATGGGGGAATCTTCTGAGACTCTGAGAACAGAAGAGGAGGGGGGGGGTACAAAAATACCCAGGAGGTTCAAACTTGGAGAGAGAGGTCTTTTGGGAGAGGGGCCAAAGAGAATCAGCAAGGTGTTGGGAGAGACTGAGAGCTGAAGAGGGGGCTGCAGAGAGCCTGGAGGGGGCAGGTGGGAAAGTGGAGGGACAGTGCTCACAGGGCTTAGGTCACTGAGGGTTGGGAAGGGATGTCTTCTGATGCACTGGGGATGGTCCAAGACAATGAGGGCTGGAGGGTGGCCAAGAGTGGTGAGAAGAGGTTTGGAGGGGCTCAGTAGCCTCACTGCCAGGGAGGTCTTCTGAGGGTCTCTGAGGGGTCCAGGAAAAGCAAGGTTGAGGGTGTTCAGAGGAGTCAAGGAAATTCACGATGGGGAGGAAGTTTCTAAGGGTCTAGGCTGGCCTGAAGAAGCGGAGTGGTATTTGGGGGGACCTGGGAGAGTCTGAAGGTTGCAGATATGTCTCTGGAGGATCTGAGGGATGGCCGGGAGAGGGGGTGTGTTCAGAGGAGTACAGAGGACTCAGGACAAGGGGAAGAGGCTTCTAAGACACTGGGAGGCCTGGAGAGACCAGGAGAGGTTGGGACCAGCTGCGAGATGCTGAGGATTGGGCTGGGGTGCTCCTGAGAGTCTGGGGGCACCCGGAGAAGCAGGAGTAGGGTGGATGGGGACTCCGAGAGTGCGCTCACCCTGGCGGCCCGCGACGAGTAGGGGTCCTCGAAGAGCGCCCACACGCGGGGCTGCCAGCGGCGCCACCAAGTGCCGCCCGCGCCGCCCGCGCCCCCCGGCGGTCCCCCGGCGCCGCCGCCCGCGTCCTGGAAGCAGAGGCGCTTGAGCTCACCGCCCGCACCGTCCAGGCCGCCGCCGCCCGCACCCGCCTCGTCGTCCAGGCCTCCGTCGTGGGCGCCCGCGGCGTTGGCGGCGTTGGCAGCGCCCGCGGAGTCGGGTGCCTCGAAGGAGTCGAGCGCCTCCTCGGCGTCTCGGTGCTGCCGGTAGGTCATCCAGCAGCAGGCCTCCACGTCGGTCTCGTCGATGCCCCAGAAGCCGAGCTCCTCCTCGAAGAGAGGCCCGCACACGTCGGCCGGGCAGTGCAGCTTGCCGGTGCGGTAGTAGTTGAGCACGTAGGCGAAGACTCCCGGGTGCCGGTCGAAGAAGAACTCGTCGGCGCCTGGGTCGTAGTCGAAGCGCGCCGCCGCCTCGGGCTCCGTCAGGCCTGCCAGCCGCGTCCCCGGCAGGGTACGCAGCGTCGAGCGGTACGTCTCATGGCGCACGCCGCCCACGTTGATCACGATCTTGCCGCTGTCGCCACCGCCGCCGCCGTGCCGCCCCATGGCCGCCGCCGGCAGCCCGGGGCATGGCTCGGCGCGCTGGCCCCCGGGCCCGCGGGTTGCCTGGGGGCCCGCCGGGGACGCGACGGGGCCGGGCTGCGCAGGCTGCTGCTGTGGCAGCGGCGCGGGTGGCAGCGGCGGGGGCAGCGGCGGCGGGGACTCGGGCGGCTGCGGCGGTGGCGCCGGCTGCTGCTTGCTGGCCCCCTGGCGCCCGCGGAAGGACGAGACGCAGACTGAGCTCAGCATTGGATGGGGGGCGGGGCTGGGGCGGGCCTCGAGGGGCGGGGCGCAGGAGGACAGGCTGAAGTGATTGGGTGGGAGGAGGAGCTCGGATATGGAGGCGTGGCCTCAGAGAGGACAAACCGAGCTGATTGGCCTGGAGGATGTGAGGGGGCGGGGACTTTAACGCTGCCCAATTGGAGGAGGCGGGGCCACCGATGGGGGCGGGGTGGGATGTCAAAGGGGGCGGTGACGGCCGCCAATACTGTGTTCGGCAGCACAGGGAATGGAGAAGGCGTGGCTAGATGTGAGAGAGAAACCTGATTGGACTGAAAAAAGGGACGGGCGGGACAGAGGGATGGGGACAAGTCCAAGCTATTTAAAGGAGCCCGACCGGCCTGGAGGGGCGGGGCCACAATGCAAAAGGTCGTGCTGATTGGACTGAGGAGGCAGGAAAGGAGGGAGATCCAACGCCCGCACCTAAAGCACCGGCAGGCCCTGGTGGGAAGGAAAATTGCTTGGAAGGTGCAGGCCGGGTCGTAAGAAGGGGCGGGCCGGAGAAAGCAGAAACGGTTAGGATTGGGCCCGGAGCGTGAGGGGGCGGGACTGCACTGGGGGCGGGAAGTGAAGATGGAGCATTTTCCCGCAGGAGGGGACCAGCTGGACCAAAAGGGGACAAGGCGAGGGGGACAGAGCCTGAGACCGGTGAGAGGGGGTGGAGATGAGCGAGGCCTGGGAACCTGAGAGAGCGGCTGGAGAGGAAAACGGAGGGGCGGGCGGAGGCTGCAAGAGTGGCCTGTTTAGACCGGGCTGGGCAGGGAATGCGTGTACGGAGGGATGAGGCGGGACTGCGCAAAGCAGGTGGGGTCTACAGACGGTAGAAAACGTCTTGAATGGGCTGTGGGACGGCGAGACTAAGGGAGAAACGGGGCTTCAAGGGGCTTGGAAGCAACCAGGGTGGGCGGGGGCGGGCAGAGCTAAGAGAGGGGAGAGGTGAGAGGGGGGCGCCAGGGGAAAGTAACACTTGCAAAGAGTGGAAAGATACCGGGCTGGACGAAGGGAAGGGACCTGGAGTGGAGAGTCTTGAGGGTCAGAGAACCTGGCAGAAGGGGCCTTAGTGGGGCGAGAGCTTCCACCTGGTGGAGGAAGGAGGACAAAGCCTGGACAACAGCGGATTGCAGATGCGAGGACCAAGGGACGGATAAGGACTGGTGAGGAGGGAGCACGAAGGGAGGCGGAGAGGAGGGGAGAGGCCAAAGTTCCCGGAAGCCTCGTCTAGAACAAGGCGATAGGCAGGACCGATGGAAAATGGGCCGCGTTGGGTGTCTGAGAGGTCCGGGGTTGCGGGAGAGACTGCGAGTTAAGGGGCGGGGCCAGAACTAGGTCGCCCTCCTGCGAGCGGGCCGGCCCCGCCCCCTGGGCTGTCCTGGGCTCCGGGAGGCAGGGCGCAGGCGCAGGAGCTGGGGCGGGCCAGCTGCTGAGGCTGGGGCTGCGGCGGGAGGAGGCGGCGCCTGTGGGAGTGAAGGGGGCGGGTCAGGGGCTGCGGGCATCCTCTGGCTGCACAGTCCCTGGCCCGCCGCCTCCCTCTGCAGGTGCGGCAGCTGGTTCGTATCGCCTCCCTACCCCACACCTGCTCCCGTTTCTGTGTCTCTTGGTGTCCCTTTTTCTCCCCTTTCTCTGAGTATTTGTCCCGCCGTCTCTGTCCCCACCCCTCCGAGTCTCTGGTCCTGTTTTCCAAGTCTCTACCCTCCCTCTGGGTCTCTGAATATCTGTCCCTTCCTTCTGAGTCTTTGGCCCCTTCTCTCTCTAGGCCCCCGCCCTCAGTCTCTCTCTCTCTTATACCTTTTTATCAGGCTGTGCCTCTCTCTGGGACTCTGCCCTCTCTCCCTGAGTCTTTGCCGTCTCTTCCCCCCTCCCCCAGGCTCTGTCCTCCCCCGTCTGTGGGTCTCTGCCCTTTCGTCTCGGCTTCTCTCCTCCCTCTTGTTCTCTGATGACCTTCTTTCCCCCTCTCCCCTTCCCCCCTATATTTTCCCCCTCCTCCCTCCCTTTCCCCCCTCTGTCTCTGCCCTTTCTCTTTCTAGCTATCGTCTCTCTTTCTCCTTCTCTCTGAGTCTCTGCCCCTTCTCTTTCTCTCTGTCACCTCCCTGGGTCTCTATTTCTCCCATGCCTCACCCCCTTTTATGTCTCTCTCTCTCTCTGTCTCCACTTCTTTGGGACTCTGTCCCCCTCTCTTTTGGTCTCTGTCCTCTCTCTGGGTCTCTCTTCTTTTCTCAGAAGTCCTCCCATCACCCCCTCTAATCCCTATCCTGTCTGGGACTGCGTCACTGCAGAGAGAGTTACAGAAGCGGGGCCTGTTCTGCAGACTAGGGAGGTAGTTTCCCTCACGCTCCAGACCCTGGGCTCTCCCATTGCCCCCAGTCCAGTATCCAGGATCCTCGGCTATCTATTAAGCCTCTGATGGGACCCAAAAAGGCAGAGAAAAGATCTGGGCATTTCCTACCCCTCCCTGCCCCAAATTCTGATGTACCCCCAGGCAGAAGCAGTGAATCCTGAGGCGAGGGACTGGGCTGGGGTTGAGTGAGTCTCCTGGGATAGTTGGGGGCAGGATGGAGACTGGAGCAGGGTTGGGTAGGCCCTAGGGGCTGGGAGTAGAGGCTAGGCCCTAGGGTAAGAACCTAAGTCAGCCATTGTCCCTTACACTCCCCCCCAACCCTACTTTTCTCTTCTGCTTTTAACAGCAGCCAGGCATGCGATCAAGTTACCAAATCAGCGTTTTTTTGCAGAGGTCAGAAGGTGTGGGAGAAGGTGGGGGTTGGTGGGGGAAAGGAGCTCGAACAGGGGAGAATATGGGATGAGACTCAGGATTAGAGAAGATGGGAGATGGGAAGAGGCAATGGGCAAGGAGTAACAGGGTGGTCCAGACTCCATTAGGGCCTGAGAAATTTGGATGCCATCACTCCCTCCTGGCCCTCCCAAGGACCCACCAGAGCCTGAATTCTCCACCCACCCATCAGGGAGGAGGGGTCTTCTGGAGGCATGATGGGGGCTCAGGGTACAAGACACCCAGCTGTGTTCACAAACCAGGGGGAAGTGGACTCTATTTTTGGCGACAGACACCAGGAGGGGAGAGGCCAATGTCTGTCTATGTTTTCAGATCGTTTCCTCACCCCTGCTTCTCCCCAACCCTTCCTTTCCCAGGCCCTCAAGGCACAAAATTCCTGAAAGCTACAACTCCAACCTCTGTCACCCTCAGCGCCCCCTCCCAGCGTTTCCTGCCCCATTCCCTAAGGCCCTGGAATTGGGGAAGGGTCTTCCCCTCCCTGACCTCTAGGACCCCTTCCTTGTTCCTCCACTCCCATTCCTATCAGCTCCAAATCCAGAAAAGGGGATCTCTGGACACTAAAGCTGACAACATGGGGACTCCCTGCCTACCATCTTTGGTTCACCGAGACCCTCCAAGTACCTTGGTCCCAAAGCTCAGAATTAAAGGGAATCTCCGCTCTAATCTTTGGGTCCCCGTCTCCCGAGTCCCCGCCTCCAAAACTGGGATTTGGGCTGTCTTACCATCCCCGAACCCTGAGCCTTCGCCCCCTCCCCGGTACTCACCCCAAGTCGAGGCGAGGCGGGGATGGGGGGATCCCGGGCGGAGATGGGGGGAGGGGTGACCCGGCCCTGGCAGCTCTGGGCAGCAAGAGGCTGCGGAGGGGGGAATGACATCACCGCCGGAGGAGGGGCAGCACCGCTTCCCCCAACCGGGGGCTTCAAGCTCCGCCTTTATGGCGGACCCAGGGGTCCCGGAATCCCAAGGGGAGAGAGAAGGAACAGGAGATGAGGTCCGCGGGAATGGTATCCCCTCCGCTTAGAATAAAGGTTGGGAAACCCTTTACCGATTTCAGCCACCCCCCACTGCCACCTGTCGCTGCCGTCGCGACTTGTCGCCTCCCACGCATGTTGTGGCTGCGCCCGCCTCCGCCAGGGCGTGAACACGGCTTGGACTACAACGCCCGTGATGCTCCGCGGGCCGGGCGCCTTTGACGAGAGGCAGTGTAGTCGAGGGGCTTCATGGGATTCGTAGTATAAGACCCCCTCACCAGTGTGAGCCTTGGAGCGAAAATGTGATGTTTCCCGGCCCTTTCTTCCTCAACTCCGGAGAGCCAGACACTAATTTTTCTCTCTAAACATCACGCACTTGAAAGAAGCAACCCAGCCAGGTTCGTTCAATGGAAATAGCGGGTTTTTACCGGTAGCAACACATCCGCTACCACCCTGAGTGCGCTCAACTAGGGCGGCCACCGGAGAACTGCGCCTGCGCGGGCCCGCCTCCTTGCTGCCCGGTCCGGCGAGGCCGAGCGCGCGCCAGGCCCACTCGGGCACCGCTGTGTGTGTCCCCGCGGTCGAAGACAGCCACGTAGGTTCCCAAGAAGACGTCGCCGAGAATCCAGAGGGGCCCTGCAGGCGGAGGCATGTCCAAGGCCTGGAAGCCGGACAAGCATAGACGGACGCCGCCCCGAGAAATCTGCGCGCAAGAAGACAGGGCAACGGGGTGTCACAAAGACCATTTCCCTGCTTCGCCCCGCCCGCTACTCCTGGACAAATATCGTTTCTGTGACCCCGACCCCGTCCTGGTGCTGTCTCACTCCGGGCCCTACCCTCTCAAATACAGTCACATGACGTCATTGTGACAGCCACCTACCTGGATGACATAGTCCTTGGCCGTGAGGTTAAACCAGACCCCGCCAAGGAGGAAGGATACTGGGGGGAGTGTTGGGATTTCCGAGCACTGGATGAGGTACTAGGGGAGAAGAAGAACAAGTGAAGATGGGAGAGTCCTGCTCTGCCCAAATCCCTTTCGTGCACCCGAGTGCCATGGGGTGATGTCCGTACTGTACACCGAGGTATTCAGCGCCTTGTGTGGACAAGCCTGTTGCCTAGGCTTCTGTCACCCAAGCCTAAATAAACCTGCATTATCATCCCCTCCCCCATCCACTGAGTCACTCAGGATAGACACTTGAGAAGTGTCCTTGCTT